GACAACTCTACACATGGACATCACCAGATGGTCAAAACAGAAATCAGATACACTATGTGCTCCGCAGCCAAAGATGGAGAAGCTCTATACAGTCAGTAAAAACTAGACCAGGAGCAGACTGAGGCTCAGATCATGAGCTTCTTGTTGCAAAATTTAGGCTTAAATTGAACAAAGTAGGGAAAAGCACTAGGCTGCTCAGGTATGGCCTAAATCATATTCATGATGAATATACAGTAGAGGTGACAAATAGATAGAAGGAATTAGATCTGATAAACAGAGTGCCTAAAGAACTATGGATGGAGGTTCGCAACATTGTACAAGAGGTAGCAACTAAAACCATCCCAAAGAAAAAGAAATGCAAGAAAGCAAATGGCTCTCTGAGGAAGCTTTACAAATAGCTGAGGAAAGAAGGGAAGGGAAAGGCAAGGAAGAAAGGGAAAGATACACCCAAATGAATGCAGAATTCTAGAGAATAGCTAGAAAAGATAAGAATGCCTTCTTAAATGAGCAGTGTAAAGGAATAGAAGGAAACAATAGAATAGGGAAGACTAGAGACCTCTTCAAGAAAATTGGAGATATGAAGGGAATGTTTCATGCAAAGATGGGCATGATAAAGGACCAAAATAGCAGGGACCTAACAGAGACAGAAGAGATTAAGAAGAGGTGGCAAGATTACACAAAGGAACTATACAAGAAAGAGCTTAACATCCCTGATAACCACGATGCGGTGGTCACCAACCTCGATCCAGACATCCTGGAATATGAAGTCAAATGTGGCTTAGGAAGTCTGAGCAACAACAAAGCTAGTGGAGGTGACAATATTCCAGCTGAGCTATTCAAATTCTTAAAAGACAATGCAGTAAAAGTGCTACACTCAATATGCCAGCAAATTTGGAAAACTCAGCAGTGGTCGCAGCACTGGAAAAGGTCAGTTTACATCCCGATCCCAAAGAAGGGCAATGCCAAAGAATGTTCAACTACCGCACCATTGCACTCATTTCACATGCTAGCAAAGTCATGCTCAAACTCCTACAAGCTAGGCTCCAGCAGTACGTGCACCGAGAGCTACCAGAGGTACAGGCAGGATTTCGAAGAGGGAGAGGAACAAGAGATCAAATTGCCAACATACGCTGGCTCATGAAGAAAGCTAGGGAGTTCCAGAAAAACATCTACTTCTGCTTCATTGACTATGCTAAAGCCTTTGATTGTGTCGATCACAACAAATTGTGGCAAGTTCTTAAAGAGATGGGAGTACTAGACCATCTTATTTGTCTCTTGAGAAACCTGTATGCAGGTCAAGAAGCAACAGTGAGAACTGGATACGGAACCACAGATTGGTTCAGAATTGAGAAAGGAGTTTGGCAAGGCTGTATACTGCCGCCCTGCCTATTTAACTTATATGCAGAGCACATCATGAGAAAGGCGGGGCTAGATGAATCACCAGTTGGAATTAAGATTGCTGGGAGAAATATCAGCAACCTCAGATATGCAGATGATACCACTCTCATGGCAGAAAGTGAAGATGAACTAAAGAGCCTCTTGATGCGGGTTAAGGAGGAGAGTGCAAAAGTTGGCTTGAAACTCAACATTAAGAAAACTAATCATGGCATCCTGTCCTATCACTTCCTGGCAAATAGATGGGGAAGAAATGGAGGTAATGACAGATTTTATTTTCCTGGGCTCCAAGATCACCACAGACAGTGATTGCAGTCAAGAAATTAAAAGACGCTTGCTTCTGGGGAGGAAAGTTATGGCAAGTCTTGACAGCATACTAAAAAGCAGAGACATCACCCTGCTGACAAAAGTGGGTATAGTCGAGGCTATGGCTTTCCCAGTTGCAATGTATGGCTGTGAAAGCTGGACCATAAGGTAGGCTGAGCACAAAAGGATTGAGGCCTTTGAATTGTGGTGCTGGAGGAGACTCCTGCGAGTCCCTTGGACTGCAAGGCAATCAAACCAGTCAGTCCTAGAGGAGATCAACCCTGACTGCTCTTCACAAGGCCAGATACTGAAGATGAAACTCAAATGGTTTGGTCACCTAATGAGAAGGAAGGACTCCCTGGAGAAGAGCCTAATGCTGGGAACAACTGACAACAAAAGAAGAAGGGGATGGCAGAGGATGAGGTGGCTGGATGGAGATGAAGCAGTCAGTGTGAGCTTAGGTGGACTCTGTGGGATGGTGGAGGACAGTAGAGCATGGAGGAATGTTATCCATGGGATAGTGATGGGTTGGATGCAACTTCACTAAACCACACCAACAACAAGAACAAGTCGCTCCCTGATTCTCTACTATCCAGCAAGCAAGTATTAGCCACAGTGGGAAAGATGAGGAAGAGCAGGATGGCCGGAGGCAACAGGGGCTCACAGAGGGGCCTAGGGAGGGGGTGTAGCCTGGGGATTCTCAAAAATCTGGAGTGCCATTGCATACTTGGATGCCCATTTGCTCTATTGCTGTGGTTCCTGATTCAGCAAGTAATATACACGCATGCAGAAGCCCATTTGGGCATGCTCATCTTTTCAGCTGAGAGATGTGTCTCTGAATATTCATTCCATAGCAATTCAAACTGCCCATTAATTTGTGCAAGGGCTTCCATATCCAGCAGCTAGCCTGGCTTACAGTGTGTCCTGGCTTTATATAATATCCATAGTGAAAAATAGAGCAGGCCAACAATTCTCCTCCAGAAGATGTGTTCCCCTTCTTCCCTAGTGTTACGTAGTGTCAGAGCTCCTGGACAAATTGCTCAGCTCATGGCACTCACCTTGCCACCATCAGCGCTGTACTCTTTCTCATCACCTTCCAGTAGTCTGGCCAGGCCGAAGTCTGTGATTTTCACATGGTTTGGTGATTTCACTAAGACATTCCGGGCTGCCAAGTCTCGGTGAACCAGCCGCCTCTCTTCCAAGTACATCATGCCCTAAGAAACAAAAAACATATAGGCTTATGCAACGTATCTGCATGCCATGAACCATAGAAGCATTCCAATTTATTGTCAATGGTCTTCCTGCCCTCACCTCAATAGCCACACATTTAGCATTTTAGTAAGAGCAACCCCGATGAGTATTGGGTGGGGAACCTCAGACTGAGGTCTCAACTGGCCCTCCAGGGCTTCCTGGAGCCACACATCTTTCCCCTAACTATGAATCATTTGGTGATTTTCCAACTTTTGCAGTTTCCCCCTCACTCTAAATAGTTGAGATATCTCTCTGAGCACTCAGTTATGGGCAGTAGGACCACACTGTATTAGTATTTTTTTGTAATTTGCTCCCATACCATCACTGGAATGCAGCTCCCAAGAGCTTCTACAAAACTGAATTTGGTCCTTGAGCTGAAAGAAGCTCTCTACCCCTGCAGTAAGAAAACTGGAACAAGAAGGATGGACAATAACAGTGCAATCCTATACTTGTCTCCTCAGAAGTAAAACCCATTGAGTTAAATGAGGCTTTTTTCCAAGGAACGGGGTATAGCATGGTGTACAACCTGGTACCAGCAGATGCCTGCTAGGGGGCCTACAAAGGGCTCTCCAGTGTGGTGCCTGCAGGCGCCCTAAATTTTAAGTATATGTAGGCTTCAACAAAAGTAGACCAAATATCCAAATAAGTATCCAGTTTTCTCTATGACATCCATTCATTTAGCAAAAATAATGTAAGGTTCCAATCCTTTCAACTATAGGAGAGAACTATAGATTCTTCCAATTTTGTAACATCTATCTTTAAGGGCACAAATAATCCACTTCCCCCTCTACGTATTAATTCCCATGAAGCAGCCAAGTAATTTAAAACTGTGTGCTCTTCAGTGAGTTTTAAAGACTATTCCAGTACAAAATTTATGTGTGTAATAATCTCTCCCCAAAAAGAAGCAGGTACTAGACATTACATTCAAAATACATTCAAAAGAACCATTAGCTTTACTGCAGCGTCAGCAATTAACTGAGACAATTCCTTGTTAAAGACAATAGGGTAAGGTTTGGGTTTGCTGAATAAGATGCAGACAAAAATTCAGAGATCCCACAGGTCCACTGAATAGGCGTTTTGGTGTGTCCAGAGCAGTTTCTCAAATCAACAAATGTGCTCACAGGCTCCAAAAGTCTGGGAACCCCCAGGGTATGTAAATGAAAACTCAATGATAACCTTGGACTGCTTTCATATACACAGTCTAGCTTATGTTGGAATAGATATTCCCCAGATTGCATTGTTAATGATGCACTCAACCTTGATTTGGGATTGGGTCCATCTACATGCCAGCTGGCTGCATTTAGAAATGAATGCATGGACTATGTGAAAAAATGCAATCTAAAGAGAACAGTATCCCATTCTATTTTATATAGAGTTTTATACTGCATGTATTATACTGTATATATTATGCTTATACTTTCCTAACTCAATTTTATGTTGTTGTTGTTAGTCGCGAAGTCGTGTCCAACCCATTGCAACCCCATGGACAACATTCCTCCAGGCCTTCCTCTCCTCCATCATCCCCCGGAGCCCACTTAAGCTCACACCAACTGCTTCAGTGACTCCATCCAGCCACCTCATCCTCTGCCGTCCCCTTCTTCTTTTGCCATCAGTTGTTCCCAGCATTAGGCTCTTCTCCAGGGAGTCCTTCCTTCTCATTAGGTAGCCAAAGTAATTGAGTTTCATCTTCAGTATCTGGCCTTCTAAAGAGCAGTCAGGGTTGATCTCCTCTAGGACTAGAGGAGAAGGGGAATCCTTCTCCTGTGCAGCCACCCATGTCCCCTCAAAATCTCCTTCAGAGGATTGGAGAACCTCTGGAGAAGGTTCTGAGGGGTACTGGGGCTGCAGAGGAGGAGAACTCGGGTTGTGCACCAGCAGGCACACCCTCAGTTCTCACTTTCCACTTGCTTCTCCCAGTGCATTTGGACTTTATGCAAAGGGTTCCTTCTGACCTTTAGTAAATTTGCCCAGGAGCAACATTCTGGAGTTAGTATGCTCTTTGAATTCATTATTTTATTGATAAACCTGTTGCCAGAATGGAGTAAATGTTTGATATTAAAAACACATAAGGCAAACTGGAGGGCTTCTTTACATAAGCAACTTTTTCTAGCACCTTCTGAGATCATTCGGCCTCATCAGGTCAGCAGCTCCATACAAAATGTAAAGGTGCTCACTCAGACCTCCCCAGCATGTTGTTGCTAGATCTCTAACAGCAGAAACTGTTTAGTGATGGCCAGATAACAAAAAAAAAAAAAAAAAAAAAAAGAACAACACTGCAAAAGGAGACTTTAGTGGAATGGTAAAGTATTCAGATGAGGGACTCCAGCTAGGCCTGGCTGCTACTGTTACAGTTGTTGTTTATCTGGGCCGTGGCCTTAATGGAAGGAAAACTGTGCACGTGCCTCCAGACTTGGCCCCTCACATTGCCATGTGACCTTGGGCATGTTCTGTTATTGTTCTGTGCATATTTTATCATTCAGAAGTGAAAAAATTCTGGTTTCACAAGCTCTTACAAATTAAATGTGCCAATGCAATAAAAACAGTCCAGATTTGTTTGAACAGAAAACGTAGATGCTTTTATAAGCATGAGAAGAGGAAAATCCCAGTGGCCCTAAAACCATCTGATTTTATCTGGGAGGCATCTTTGGGTGAATCTGACATTCAAGTTTGGAAATATATATTGGATGCTGTGCACAAACTGCTCCTGTTTTGCTTTTGCCACAATTGATTTTGCAACAATCAGCAGTGCAGAGGGTTTGAAGCATAGCCACAAAAACTCTTTGCCCAGAGAATATACAGCATTATTTTCAGGCAGGCTTTAACTGTCCCAAGCAGGCACATTCTCTCTGGCCAATTGCAAATCAATGCTGCTGGCAGTTAAACATTGGAGCTATAGCACGCTGAAGGATTAACAGTTTCTGCCATCAAACCAAAAGCAGTAAAAACAAAATAAAGATGGGCAAGTAAATCACAGAGGGTCAAATGCTTATAAGCCTATATACTAGGAGTGCTATAAAACAGTAGATTGCTTTAGACCCCCCCTGGGTCAAGCACAGGCATTAACATGATAGAAATCCAAATGAGTGGAGACTCAGCAGTCTAATTAGGCTGTAATCCACCCAGACCTTCTCTATTGCGAGCCCCATGGAAATTAGTAAGTGCTGAGTTAGTAGTAAGTGCACTGTACTTAATAACTATGGTGTAAGCATGGAGAACTAGGATTTCCAAAATTAAATCAAACTTTCTTCTTCTCCTTCCTTCCTTCCTTTCTTTTTTAATGTGTCTTTTTCCAGTACAAGCTATATTTATTGACCCTTATGAAATGATCAACACATTAACACATACATTGCTTCATCTTCTCAGTATAACGCAATACATTCCTAAGTTCTGGGTATCTGATATAGGCATGCAAGAAGACTGCATGTTTCCTGTTTGACATTAAGTAAGATTATTCAAAGCAAGCACGATTTTTAATTCAGGAATGAGGGGGGCATTTCACCCTGCAATTTGGAACATTGTGCTCACGTGAACTATCCCAGAATGTGCTCTCTCACAACAAGGTCATCTGTATAATTCTGCAAAGGGGTAAGGAGGATTTCAGCACACAACAGGGGGAAACATGCATGAAAAAAACAAGTGGCAACATGAGCCTGTGTGTAGAGCAAGAGTTGCTTCTCAGCAGGGCCAGTGCGGCATCACGGTTATGATGTTCACTGCATAGTTCAGGCTGAAGCAACTTCATAGGATTGCTGTGAAGATGAGATGGAAAGGAAAAGTACACAAGTGGCCCTGGGTTCCCTGCAGGGAAAAGGCAAGATAGAGATAAGTATATAAAAATAGTTTTCCAGCAACTTCACATTAGAGGTATTCCTGAGACTGGTCCAACAGGAGCAGATGTTTGATGTTTCAGAGATTGGTGGTATAGGAGAGCGAAACAGCCTGTTAAGAGAGGAGGCAAGTGAGCATTGGAGGTGGGCCAAAGGCCACCCAGGAAAGCCACGAATGAGTTGGGAAGTCCTCCAGATCCAAGCCAGTCACTCAGGTGGCAGAAGACTTCCGACAAACTGTCTGAGGCCACCTCGCCCCTCGGTACCTCATTCTGAAGCAGAGTGAGGCATCTGAGACACTGGTAGCCCATGGATATGTGGCTCGGCATTGGGCGCATCACTGACCACACTTCTGCCCCAGCAAACCTATTGTGCACTCTTAAGCACTAAGCAAGTGTGGCCCCTGCAGCAAACCATCCGCCCCATGACCTTCCTAGGAAAGCAGCAACTATCTCCTGGTTTGTGTGTGTGTTTTTTCAGTTTTTCAACATTTTTTTCAGCATTCCTGAAGGCTGAGGAAGACCAGGTCAACGGGTTTGGATGAGCACGGACATGGGCATGAGAATGGACAAAAAGCAAGGGCAAACTGACGGGTGGGGTCAGTCAAACCAATGGATGAGGAAGACAGGCCAACCAACATGTGGCCTCTGAAAGACCTTCCTAGTGGTCCAGCAGTGACCAACAGCCACCCCTCCCCGGCTGCTGTTTGAGGCAAGGAGCACACCCCAGCTCCTGGGAAGGCTAGCCTTGGCTTTTTCCACTGAGGTCTCTTCCTGCAAAGACTTTGGTTTGCTTTTTGTTCGCTTCTTTTATTTTTGCAGGATCATGGCAAACAGAAACCACTTTAGCATTGTATCTCCTCTTAGGAGCAGTCACAGTAAACTACGTATTGATTTTTCTCAGCATCCTATTAAAGTGGTTTGTGGGTGGCTGAGCACACACAATATATAAACAAAAGCATTGCATTACATTTAAGCTCAAACAATATTGGTCAACACCAAATGACTCTGGAGAAGGAAAGGTAGGATACTTAATGGTGTTCAATGGAAATGTAAGATTTAGATACGTATTTTCCTAGGTGCTTCATTTGACTTTTTCAAGCCCGATAGATATGGCATTCTCCCTTGCTCCCCTTT